CTCATCCAAATCTTTCTGGCAATGTTTGTACCAAGTGTTTTGCAGGATTTTAGCTAGTTTTATTTATAAGCTTGAATAAAAAAAGCCATACAAGTTAGGTATGAAAGTATTTTAAGAAAACCTAAGTTAACAGAAAAACATGATCAATTATGAAATAGTTACACCAGCTCATCAGAAAGTTACATATACATTTGATCATAAAACCATATTTTCTATATATTATTTAAACCGAGCTTCAATAGTTGTTCTGATACAACAGTGATACTCAAAAAGTGACATTCAGTTTTTCACCCCTTTAGTGAGTACACTTATTTCCTCTATTTCTACAGGTGCAAGGATGCTCATTTGGATACCAATTCCACATGGGTATAACTTTCAACATAATTTTACATTACATTTTCCCATCTTGAAGGCAAAAGGCTATCAACGGTAATAAACAGACAGTTCATCATCACTCATGTCTGAATCATCTTCATCCACTTCACCTTCAATGACTGATTTCTTGCCTTTGCAGCATGAAACAATTAACCCAATTAAAAAGACCTGCAAATTCAAAATAAGTTGCAAAAGTTATTATTATTCAATTAAGGGACATACAGGGCAAATATATTAAAATGAAATGGCAGTGTCATGACGCAAATGATTCAATGACAGCTACTGTAAGTTATCTAACTTATTCAGTGATCTCTATAATCAAAAGTACTTACTGCAATGAATGCCCAATTCCCAAAGTAATAGGCAGCACTGAAGAACCAAAATTTATGAAGAAAGAGGTATGTCCGCGTAACAATACACTGATCTAAAAGGAAAGCAAATAGTACTGATTAACAGAAGAAATAAAAATCAGGCAATGCCAATTTATGGGTTAATAATTCAACAGTTTTGGAGTATTCAGCTCTGAAGAACAATTATACTCCATGAAATCAAATCTACTCTCTTCTACCAAGAAGGCACTCAGGAGGGATTTCTGTTATTATGGGAGAGTGAATGTGAAAACAGATAGCACTATGCTAAGACTTACACAGTAACACCACTACTGTTGGGTACAATTTCTCCTACGGATGTGTCCATTCTGTTCTGACAGATCCTAGTTACTTCCCATTTTAGATAAACCGCAGCCATAAGGAGGAAATACAAAGCAGATTCTGTATTAAAACACATTTCAGTACTTTGAAAAATGTTTCTTTACCGGGATTGTATAAGTTTTGTAAAAAACAAAGTCAACTACAACGTTGAGTCAGGCAAAAAAATCCCCACTACATACTGGGTTTTTTGTCACCTGACAGTACTGGTTAAATCTTGCTCCTTCTCTAACACCGTAAATACAGCCACATCTGAAAATACTACTTCAGTTTTCTTTTCCTTTGAAGCAGCAGATTTTAACAGAAGTAAGAATCAAATTGTCAAGGCATTTTTAAGACTGTGGACAGGGAACATTCAAGGCTTGTATGTGACACTGAGCCTATGACACTCGGGAGGTCGTGTCAGAGGGCAGCCAGCAGGACACACAAGCCAGCTGACGTCTCTGCAGTGTAAGAAGGGGTGCAACAAGTTCACCCTAACATATAACATCTCTTTTTCTCATTTACTATGCTCTGAACCCCACCTAAAGCCCATTTCAGAGCAGAAATTGGTATCTAAACAAATTTGAATGTAAACAATTTGAATGCTAGAGAAAGTAAGCAACCCAGAATTTTCCTGTTCCTCCCTCAATTCCTACCCCAGATTTGGAAACACCCCCTAGGTGCCGCTGAAGGAGAGACTTCCCACCTCCTAAAGTGGTGAGTGATGTGCTGCTGCTTATTTAATTTAACTTTTAGCAGCCATCTAAAAAAACTAACAATCAGTTTCTGAAGGTAAATATTTTATTTAAAGATTCAACATAACAAGTAGATAACTACTGTTTTACCAGTACCACAGACTACAGCTCACTACCTCCTGGGGAGAGAAAAAGTGAGGAGTTAAGGATAGGTCTTTTTCAGGAAGGTCTGCTGCTTGACCTTGCCAAGATGATTCCCTCCAAACTCAATCCCTAGAATGACTGTATCTAAACAGAGAAACAATTCCACTCCTTCAACAGTTCTCCAATGACTTATACTTGATAAAACCAACAGAATAATTCAAAATACCAAATTAAATACTACATTATGATTTCTGGAATCTATTACACAGTATCAGCAGTCAAAAAAAGAAGTTAAACAGGGATTTCACAACTACTAGACACAAGGGGTACAACACATAACTAGGCACATTCTACAGATAATTAAAGCACAAAACAACTTAATTACAGAAAGTGCATTTCTCCACTAAAACATACAAGGAAGGAATCTGGCTGAACTAATCCTTCCTAGTTTTCCAGGCTAAACTCAGTTACACAGCAAAACCTGATTTCTGCCCCCACTGTTAACACCAGCTAATAGTACTTACCCCACAAAAGAGAAAAAAAAATGTCAAGTAGCACACCACTCACAACACTCCATGCTAGCATGACACATCCATAGAAAAGGTGAAGTTTCTGATAAAGTAAGAAATGCCAATAAAGTGAAGATGCTCCATAATTGCAGATAGTATTGTCAACACCATCTGCAGCTCTCCAGCTGCTTACTTGAATTAAAAAACAGCTAAAAGACTTTCAGATGGCTCTCTACAGTAATTTGAATAGATGATGGTAAATATTTTAGAACAGTTTGACCTTGAGAAAGTGTTTCTATGGAATGTGTCACCAGTTCAGCCAACCAAATTTCAGTTATTCCTTCTGAACTAAGATCTTACCAAATGACATTTTTAACTAACTTATGCCTCCATATGACATAATTCAGAGTAAGTTATAATGAATAACCAGAATTAAGATAACGATTTGTTACCCAGAATGATCTTTGTGATTATTGCTGACATATCTTGATCATTTGGGACAAAAGTACATGTGGAAAGCTACCAAGCCTCCTATACTGAACTGCCCCCACTTCAAGAATAGAGCATATTACATACTGCTGACCAAGCAAAGCAAAACAGCCAGGATTCAAGACAAAACAAATTTTTAAACAAAGGATGACAAGCACTAATAGCCACAACTCGCTGAGGAGTCAAATATCTTTTTATTTCAAGTCCACTGGTGAATTAGAAGATCCTTAAGCTCAATGTACTAATATTTTTAAACAAAGGCTTCTTCCAAGAAGCAGATAAGCTAGTTTAAGATGAATTACCAGGATAAACAAAGATGTTGATAAACAAATCTTAAAGTCTAAAAAGTTATTTCTTGCACAGAAAACTCAAATTATGAGAGCTTATTTACAGATAATGCAGCCTGCCTCTCATGCCTCTCAGAATACAGCAAGTTTTCACAAAAGCATATGGAAGGAAATGATTTCTTAGGGAAGAGCTACAAACTGTTATGAACAATGCCATTTAAAGACACTGGCATTCTCTGGGAGTCAATACTGAGGTGCCTACTTATTTTACCTCTTCATTAATGAACTGGACAATGAAACAGATTACATCCTCTGTAAGTCTGCAGATCAGACTGGGGAGAAGTGGGGAGCAGAGGCCCAACACGCTACATGGTAAGATTCAGAGGGAGCCTATTTTTCCAGCCCCTTGAAATAGTCCTCGAAGTTTAACAGAGACAGAAGTCCTGTACCTGGAATAACGGGACACTAAGCATCAGTACAGGCTGAGGGTTGACCAGATACAATGCACCTTCACAGAAATCACTTCGTGTCCCAGTAGACAAACAGAACACGTAGTTACCAGTGCTCATCTGCAACTCAAAAGTGTAACTGAACACCAGGCTCCACTAACACGAGTTCAGCCAACAGGTCCAGGGTAATGATCACTTCCTCCTATTCCTACTGGAACTGCATCTGCAACAGTGCCATTCTGGGCACCCCAGTCAGAAAGAAGCATTAATATACTGGAACAAGTCCAGTGGAATACCTGCAACAGCTAGAGAACATCACAAACAAGGAAGATGTGTTTGTTCATCTTGGAGCAAAGGTGCTTGCAGGTGTGTCTTACTGCTACCTCTGCTGGCTAGTGGGGACCTACAAAACACAGGGCGAGCTTCTTCCTAGACCTGCACAACAAAAGGACAACAGATGACAGAGTTGCAGCAAGAAATATTCCTATTGGATAACAGGAGACATTTGACCATCAGCATGGTTAAACACTGAAGCAGGCTACCCAAAGAGGTTTCAGAATCTACATCTGTGGAGACATTCACAACTGGATGGAGCTGAGCAACCTGCTCTCCTAGACCCTGCTGGAGGGTTGGACCAGACTAGCTCTTGAGGTCCTGTGCATGCTCAAAATCATTACAATTCACCTTACATGAAAGCAGAGAAAGACAACACAGATAGACCTAACACTAAACATGGCCTTTTGGATGGAAAACCCAAACTGAGAATAAGAATGTTATCCACAGACAGATGAAGTTTACATGCCCAATTTCAAGCAGAACCTAGTTTTACTTAAAATACACTCAAAACCACTTCCAAGGGAAAACCTGCAGCTTTACCGAGCCAGAATGGATAAGCATTTCATATTCCCAATCCTAAAAGCACCGAAGGTATCCAAGAACACTGTTTCCTATGGCCCTGCTGCCCATCATTCAAAAGCTGTGTTGCAGAAAGCAGCTACTGCTTGCACTCCAACTTGCAACTTAAGCTTCAAGAAAGGGTTTGATGTGTTTATAAACTTAAATTATATATCACATTCTGAAAGGTTTGAGAAGTCACCTGGGAAAGTGTAATTAAGGGGAAAACCGCATTTCTTCCTTCAAGACATTACTTATGGTCCTGCATCTGGTGTGTGGCCCAACTCTGTTTAAATCATCTAGCTTGAACAGGAACATTTATATGGGATGCTGGTTAATGCACATCTCTGGTACCTCAGATGCAGCAGTACTTCAACAGCTGTGACATCTTAAACACATTATTTCTTTTGTTGATTTCCAGATATTATTTCTCATTGTACTACTGAGATACGATGACACACTTATTTTACTATTTCCTGCCATTCCCGTATGCTTCTTTTTGATCATGGGACTTAAGACAAGCAGCATCTTCTATCACAGAATGAAAAACACTCCTACAGGCCAAGTCAGTTCTACATTACAATAAAACAAGTAAACTGCCTCTAAATTGTTTTTTTTTTAAATGCACATATTTTCTTACTATGGCTTTCCTGTAAAGCTAAAATGCATTTTGACAAATAGAGTAAACTAGAGTAAGAACAGCTGGCTTTGGATGCTGTAACTTGCAGAACACAGCTGGATAGATGACTACTAATCACCTTCTAAAATGTCATCTGGCACTTACAAGTAGTATCAATATCAATGTTTTTCTCTGACAGTGTATCAGTATTTGAAACAAAGTGTGAAAAACTAGGATTCCTATGAACTGAGCAGGTACAGGGCAAAGATTTCAAGTTTGAAAGTGGCCTCAGAGAAACATGCCTTTATTTACTAGAAACAAAACAACAGCTGAATATGAAGACGCCTTGGGATTATTTTACCTGAAAGACCTATGATAGCAAAGGTTTTACTGGATGGCAGAATGATTCCCAGATAGCTATGCCCCTTAAGCAACTAAGGTCAACTAAGGACACTGACAAAGCCTTGTTATTGTTATAATGGCAATATTTTCTTTGCAGCAATATATGTAATGCTTTCCCAAACTTCAAAATAAAATTAACTTCTTAATTTGATATCTCACTTTGGACAAGAGAACTGTTGTAGCTCAGACCACTTATGAAAGACTACAGAAATGTGTAAGACAAGGATTGGCTACATGTGGCTACAGA